ACACAAAATATGGGCAGGCAGAAAAAGAAAGAGAAAACAGCAGAGTATGAGTCTTTTCTGTGTCTTAAACTATAATGAATCAAATGCTAAAAAGTTCACCTGGTAGAAGAAAAGGATAAGGCGAGGAAGTCACTTACCCTCTGACCTGTGGACTCAGTGATTTAACAAAAGGTCAAGTAACACACTGAAGGGAGCTACTATGAAGGACAATAATTTTGGAGGCTTAAATAAGAACTTATGCTTTGTAAATAGCATCTAAAATTATGAAAAATTAAATGGCAATATATATGTACAAATTTTAAAAACATTATCACTTTCCTAGAAGACACTAACAAAGGCAGAAAAATGTATTTCAATTCAATGGAGTTGACAAGAGAAATGTGTTAGCAGAATCCCACTTACAGGCATCTGCTTTCTGATCTTCAGGGAGAGAGCAGGAGCAGCCCCTGCCCCCAAACACAACTATGCTAGACTTTTTATGTAATAGTTCAGTAAACATGGTAATGGTATTTGAGCCACCACCTTTGAAACTTTGAGTAAACATTTTTTAAAAATTAAATTGACAGGCTCAGCAATAACAAAATCTGAAAATAATGCTTTGATAAAGTTTTTGTTATAAAAATAAATTACTCAAACTTCAAAATAAAGCCAGCTGCATTACTGAGGAACTTTGCTAAAATGTATTTTTAAATGTCGGATTTTAATTTTAAATATAGTTTTCCATTTGGGAGAAATATGTAATTATAATAATATATGCTCATTTAAAATATGTAGAGCTTATGTAGACCACACAATCACAGATAACAATTTAAAATGACTATAAAGTTGTAATTTGTGATTTTATTTATTTAGCAACTTTTCTCCTCATTCAAATGAATCTACATTTTAAAAGGTTAATATTGTTGATATCTGTATTATCATCTCTAAATTTTTCTGCCAATCATGAAAATAACTTTCCAGTTAACATGATACTGGAATCAACTTGAAGCCATTTCTGTATTCAGCGTGAGTGGGAAAACAACTTTTAGAAGATATTTACTCCAACTATAACTTTCATTGCTGGACTCACAATGCCCCTCTGACTGTTTAGAAAGGTTCCCAAGATCACTTCTCTAAAAATAGGAAACCTGAATAATGAAGGTCAAGTAGGATTATGTGTCTTTTGAAACAGTAAGGAATTGTAATTTGAAAAAAAACAAGATTTCAGAATTTTCATCAAATATTCTGTTTCCATGAACCCTAAGAACTCTGTAAATTTGCTCAATTATATCTAAAAAAGTTCTCTGTTCTGCCTAAATCATAACCCTAAAACTTTTAAATTCACTTCTTTGAAGCCATAATTTGAACCCTTACATCAAAGTGGGTTAATTTAGAAGAGTAACTCCAATAGACAAAATAATTTGGACAAAAAAAGAATTCTCTGATGCTTAATTTAGCAAATTAACCTGTTGAAATTTCTGGCTCTTAGTCATTAGAAGAGAAGGCGTAAGAGTCATCACTTTACATAGGCCAGAGCTGCTTCGAGGCTACCTGTCATCAAGTACCCTCCTATATGAATACAGGAATGGTGGGGGACAGTTTTATATGAGAAATTAAAACCATTTTCCCCAAGAGAGAACAGGTTTGACCACCAGAAAACTCTTCCCAATTAGCCAATCCACGTGAACATGTTCCCAAACAGCAGCTTCAATTTAAAGTCATGAGCCCTATTTCTAATAACGATGGAAAGTGAAAAAGACCAAATTAATATCCTTCCACTGGAGGATAAAAGCTTAGCCAGATGCCTACTGCTAGCAACTGTTACTGTGCCCATAGGAGCGCACTGGTCTGTCTGAGTCAGAAGGAGGGGCACTGAGGACACATATGTGGATGGAGCCTGCAGTAAGTACCAATGGTACATTCAGTCACCAGAAAGGTATCTATCTCATTTTTTTGATTTCTTCCCAGTTTTCATCCAACTGAGGTTGACAATTTCACTCCAATTCCTGCTTGCTTTTCCACACCCCTTAAAAAGTGTTTCCATGGCTAAGCTGACAGTGAAGCCTGAGGACGGGAGCTGGTTAAGAATGGTCAGCTCATGTACCATCCCCCCCACGCCACTGCTTCTACCATCAGTTTTGCAGGAGAAAAGGAATCCTAGGAGCAATACAATCTATCTGGCTCCGTGCTTTAAGGTAGAGAGATCTGGAAAAAGTCTTCCCCCTTTCCCTTTGCTGCCTCTGTAGAGACCAACCAGACCGATAAATGTGTATGCACAGAAATGGAAGAAGTACTAGAAGCAGTCAGAAGCAAATAAAGCCACTGACTACTTTGGTACCTCTTAAAAAGTAAAAACTTTTTTTTTTTTTTTTTAAATTAAGAACTAAGTGGTGGGTTGAGAGAGAAAGAATTTTTGATCTTCTGTCTCCTGGAAGCTACTGATACATAAATGCAGGGCTTTTTAGAGCACTGTAAACTTAATTCCAAATATGAAAACACTAGGGTATAGGAAGCAAAAATGAAGGCCATCCAAAGGTAAGAAAACAAAGCACTCCCTTCTGGGGCCCCCAGTGGTCATGCAGATCAGCGGGCACTGGGGGCATCTCTGTCACTTCACTTTCCCTTCCCCAAGTGGACCTCCTCATCTGCCCCCTTTCCCCACAAGTGTACACTGTCAATCTTGCTGTAATCAACTGTACAGTTTGCCTATTGTTTTCCCAAGGTAGCTGGCTGACCTACTGCCCCCCAGAGATGCCTCTTCCCACCCACTGTGTGTCAGTCTTTCTCTGCTCCTCTGGTCTGCTCCTCAATAGGGGCTAGCCGCCTCCTGCTGACTTCTTTCTCTCTGGGCCTCTGGGTTTTCTCTTTACATTCCCTGACCTACCTTCTTCCCACTGCCATTCCTTCCCACGCCCTTCCCTTGGAACAGGCAAGCTTATCTTTCCATCTTGCAAGGCTGAGTTTCTCTCCACTGTCTGCTTCTGTCCCTCTGCCTGTGTTTCTGGCTTCCCCCAAATGGGCCTCCCACTCCGTTTGATGCTGGTCTCTTCACTGCAGGTGCACCTATCTAGGAGTAGCTATTGGCCCACGCAGTTTTGTATTTCTTGTATCTCTCCCAGCCATTCTTGAGGTTTTCTCCCGAGATTTCACTGTATGTAGGAAGGTACCTTTCTCCCTGTGCATGCACTCCTCCTTAACGCCCCCTCACCCCACCACACAAAGTCTGTGAGTGTTTTTCACCATATGCTTCTCTGGTTAGTAACACAAGTGTCCTAGCACGTACACTCATGTGTCCACCCAATTCTGTGAGTGCCTTCCTAACAATACACTCACCTCTGAAAGTCTCCACTGCTGTTTACAAATACCCTATCCTGTGAGTTCATTTTCTATCCAAAGCCTGCACAACTAATGCCTTCTCTGTGCGCACACTTATGTCGGGGTGGGGGGGGCTCTCTGAAAACATTCCCAGTGAACCAGGGTTCACACCTCTCCTGCCGCTCTGCCTCAGACTCTGACTTCGCTCTGTGTATTTAAAGTGCCTGGCTTTAGTGGGAGCTCAACAGATGTCAATTCTTTTCCCCGCTTTTAGCTGAATAACTATGTGAGTCTGTGTCTCGGTGTCCTTCTGCCCCTCTGTGCCTGTTTTATGAGACCGGTTGGAGTGTGTTCCTCAGGGTAGAATGGGCTATTTGTAAGATGCCCCGTGGGTTCTATTTCCCTTCCGACTCTCTTCTCCTGTAAAACTTTACAAGTTCCCCCATATGACATAACCCTCCCTCATGCAATGTATCCACTCCGGTCTCCCTCATAGGCACACAGTACTGCGTGTCCATAAACTGCTTCCCCATGCACCCTGGTTACTACGTCCCTTCTTGGTGCCTCCCTCTCTCTCCCACTTTTTTTCCAACATGAAAGCGTCTGGATTTGTGGTGCAATTACAGTGAACGTGCGCCTATCTGAGCCTCTCTCTGTACTGGAGGGGTGTGTGTGTCCATGGGCTTCTCTCGAAAACGAGGGGTGAGAGGCCCGAGTCTCTGCCCCGGATGCATTGCATCCTCCCCCCACCTTCTGGCTCGTTCCCTGTTTACACGTCCCCGAGTCAGCCCCAGACGCCGGGAGTTTTTTTGGGTACGTAGAGCGTCGGTGAACCTCCATCCTCAGAATCCCATGTCTTACTCCCGGGGAGCGCTAAGTGTGTGTGAGTCCTCAGGTCTCTCCCCGGGACGCCGTGTTGGTTTGTGTCCGCCCCCGGACACGGCGCGTCTCCAGTAACGCGATGCGCCGGTGTCCCGGAGTCCCTGAGAATGCAGGTGTGTCCCCTCCCCCCCGTACGCGAAGCGCCAGTGTCCCTGCCGTTCCAGTGTGCGCCGCCCCCTTACACGGACTGCCTAAGTCCCTATCTCTACGAGTACACCGTGCGCCCCTCACCATGCGCCCGAGTCCCCATCCCTTCGAGCACACAGTGTGTCCCCTGATACGTGAAGCGCATGTGTCCCCAAGTCCCTGGGAATACAAGGTGTGTCCCACCCCCACACGCGGAGCGCCTGTGTCCAGTCTCTGCGGATCCACCGTGCCCATGTAATTAGAAAACGCGGACAGCTGGTGTCCGCGAGTGGTCCCTGGTTCCTTGCCCACACGCTGCTCGCTACCCGCCTTCCCCGCAGAGGGTAGCGTGGTCATCTCACTTCTCTCATCGGGGCCTCTCTCCCTCTTTAGGACCCAACAAGCCAGGAAATCCGCGTGCGCCGTCGGAAAGTCCCGCAGCGGCACGGCAGCCGACCCAGGGCTGCGGCTGCCTCGGCCCCGCCGCCAGGGGCCGCCCGCCTGCCCGCTTCCCCAACGCCCAGGCTGGCCCGGGACTGCGGGGTCAGCCACCCAGCCGGCCCTGCCCTGCCTGGCTGCTGCGGGCGCTGACGGCGGCAGCTGCCAGCCCCGGCTCCGCCGGCCCCGCACCCGGCACCCGGGCAGGGGGAGACGCGGCCAGGCAGTGAGGGGTGCGCTCTGCCTCCCCGAGCCCTCACCTTGTGGCTCTGGTAAGTCTCGAGCGCCCGGATCGCCGTCTCGGTGAGCTTCACATGCAGTACGGTGATGTTGTCTTGCCCCAGCCGTCCGCACGACAGCCCATAGCGCTGCTCCTCCCGCAGGCCCGCTGCCCCCCCCGCCGCCATCTTAAACTCCCCGGGGTGCCGCCGCCGCTCCGGCTCTAGCCTCCACTGCGGCCGCGGCTGCTTGGGCTTCAGCAGCCGCCGCCACTGCTAGGGCCATCCCGCTGCTGACGTACTGTCATATACTGCGCGGAGCCAGAGCTCGGACTGCCACCGCCGCCACCCGCCCCACCCTCCGGCCCCGCGCCCCGCCCCGGGCTCGTCTCATTGGTCTTGTTCCCTTCAGAACCGCCCTCATCGGCCGCCCTCCACTCTCACTGGGGCGGGGCCCAAAGTCGCTGGAGTTTTGCTCCTGGGACGGGACGTCCAAGAGGTAACAGGCTGACGTCTAGGTGACGCGCCAACTTAATCACGTCTGACGTCACGTCTGGTCGTCTTGGCTCGCCGGCCGAGATTGGCCAGGCTGGCTTGGGGACTCCCCTGCTAGTTGGAAGTCCAGGTTGCCTGGTCTGGTTACCTGGAGTTGGAGCCCCGCCCCTGTAGGGGACGGTAGTGAAAAGTCAGAATTGGGGAATCTCGCCCTGCGCGGGTGGTCCCTGGAGAGGAGGATCTCCACCTCCGATGTGTAAGGGATGGCCGTGACCAAATAAGGACTTTGTTCCCCGACGGCTGCGGAAGCTGTGGAACTTGGTGCGTGCGTGTGGGGGAGGACGCAGTAGGCGGACTCGCTAGAGATCTGCTCCTCAAAACTCCTGGTACTGTAGTTGAGCAGACGGGATTGGGAGGAAACTGCTCACTCGAAACTTGAAGTTATCGGGTGCCACACGCAGAGCTTATAAAAACAAAACCAAAAACCCTTGAAATTAGTGAGTTGACTCTTAGATGTAGGAGTTGAGTTAGATTTTGTGGAGCATCTTAAGGACAAAATCACGCGGGAAGTTAAATGCCTTTCGTATGGTGGGCATGGTATAATAGAGAATTGAGTTCGAGGTCTTTACTACGCCATGCCCTGTTGTGATTCTCTGGGATGGTATCTCCTTAAAAAGGACTCTAGAAGAGTAAAACTGGCATTGTTCTAAATTAAAAGAAACGTCGACAGTTCTCATTCTCTGATTCAGTTTGAGTTTTGTCCTTTTTTGATAGGGCTGTGTGAAAACCTAGCTAGGGTTTAAAGGTAAGAGATAGGCTGTCGAGGATAAGCGAAGTAGATGGGGGCGTGAGGCGTGTGCACAGGCCTGGCATACTTTCCATTCCATCCACAGGATGCTTCCTGTGTAGGCGTGGCTAAAAGAGGGAGCCTAATCTGGAGTCCCTTTCAGGTTGTGTGTGGATAGACTGACAGATGGGTTCCTGTCAGAGGATGGATTAATTGGGTGATCAGAAACACCAGATAAAACCATTGAAAGCTTTCAAACTGTTGAAAGTCAGTTTAAAAAAGTTTTTTTTTTTTTTTAATAAAAAAACGGAGACGCTTGTTTTTACTCTCAGCTTATAAAACCGTGTTCTGTTCTACTGGGATCCCCCGGGAAAGTTTATAGATATTTAATCAGTGTTTTTCATTACTTTAAATAGGATTATGGCTATAATTCCATGTCCTCCCCTCCCAATAAATGCCTTCCCCACCGTACGTGTACACTCCCTTTTGATTCAGACTCTCAAACAAAGTAGGTGTATAATGTGAATTACAGAATGAATTCTCGTTCCATGGATTAAGTGGAAACACCTGTATTAAGCATTGCTCCATCACAGGAAAACAGTTTGTAAATTGACTTAATTTCAATCCACTAAGATTGGCTAGCTGTTAAGACATAATTAACGCTTGCTAATTTCATTTACTTTGGTGATACAAAGTTATCTTAAATTCATTGAGTAGAGAAATTAAGGAATCATCAAATTGGATTAAAAAGTTTACCCTTAGAAGGGAAATAGAGGCTTTATTACCTAGTTTTCTCAGCTTTCCAAAAGTAGAAACCTTATTCAAATAATTCATCTCTAAGCGGACTATAGTCTAAAAATAATTCTGTACTTGAATTTTTCTTTTCTCTCTCTGGTTTTTTTTTTTTTTTGCTTTGATACTAAAGGACTGAGCACATAGCTAAAGCCTTAATTATGTGGGGGGCGAGGGGGAAGGGAGGTTTGCCCGGAACAAGTAAAACCTGTATCCTACTGCTTTTCCGGTGAATGTGGGTAAATCCCCACCCACATGATATCCTAACTTGGCCTACTCTTACTCAGAATTTCTGATGACATCCAAGCTGGTGGGGGAGGAGTAAGGATGGTTTTCGTTGTAGTTTTCAAATATCTGACCTATAGCTTCTTACTAGTAATTGATTTTTTTAAAAAAATATAGTAGGAAAATTTTTCCCGTGCCCTATTTTAGTAGGTAAGAAATCTTTCGGGGATTAATATATTATTGTAGTGAGTTAATGTTTGTTTGTGTTTTTCCCCTTTTGAGCTTTTCAACTGTGGTAGGAGGAAATGATCAAGTACAAAGCAATATGGTAATCTAGTAGCGTCTTTTCATTGATGTCTCACAGGTATAGTACACATTATGCCTGCCTGAATCAGATGGTCAAGTTATGATGCTGGTAAGGATAATGTATTTTGAGGAGGCTTATGAAAGGTGCTTTTTGGGAAGGTTGCCATTTTATACGTATTTTCTGTATCTTTATCTGATTTAAATAATTAAATTATCATTGAATATCAGTTAAGTTTAACATGCTGTAGAGGATTTAAAAATTAAACTGTAAAGTCTCTAAAGGAATTTTCTGTTTCAATGTGGCAAGTGAACAGTATACTGAAAGCAAAGCAATTAGAAAATTAGTAAATGCTAATTTGGATGGTGTTGGTGACAAGCTCAAAAATTCAAAGAAAGGAGAAGTCTGAAGAGGTTTAATGAAGGTGATAGTACTTGAACAGCTCTTGAGGGTTGAGTAGATTCTAGATAAGTTGGAGGTGGTATAGATGGAGACAGGCCAACTAAAAATGATCTTAATGATGATTCCAGGTGAATACATTAGTTTTATGAAGGAGGAACGGAGACTCCCATTAACTTAAAAGCAACCTGCCTAACATAACCAGGAGAGGCAGGGTCGGAATCACCTCTTTAAGTGTCCTTCCAGTCCTTATATACACTGAGTAGCTATGGATTAGATTTAATAACTGAGAAGAAACCTGTCGTATAAGACAGTTCAGTACAGGAAAAAGGCTAAAAGGAATCTGATGCAGGGCCTGCTCCATCTCTCATGTCTAATATACAGTGCTGGCAAGGGATATGTGAACATCAAGGCCTTCTCTGGCCTTCAAATACTGGGCCACCCCTCATTCCAGGTTGCTGCATATTTAATGACTGTTTCTCACATCTTTGGTGCAGTGGTCACCAATTCAGATGCCTTCAGGGACTATTGGATACCCAAATGAGTGAAACAGGGCAGATACAATGTCATAGGCACTGAAGATGCTGGACTGTAGTGAGCTGGGAGCGTTTAAAGGGCTGAGTGATATCTTGGTTCAGCTGACTGTTGCCAGGTAAAAATTTTAATAAACATTTTCTGGACATTAAAAAAGTTTTAGGCCAAAGTTAGCCCACAGGTTTCTAGTTTTCCAGATCTTCTGTAGTGACTGCCAATGCAGAAGGGCATTCTATCTTATACCTGTGTTAGCAGTTTGGAGGTTATTTCTTAAACCCATCTATACAAAAAGTTAATGCTTATTAATGTCTTAATACAAGGCAATGGCTTCTGTTACAGAAAGAGAACATAGAACCTTATAGAGTTATAGCACAGAAGCTCTCTCGATGCAGAATTTCCAGAGAGAAAATCTTTCCCTTTTGAATTCTCTTCCCCAATGCTGCTTGCTCCCTTGTGCAATGGTTGTGTTTGACCCAACTATTACACCACTCTCCCTTCAAGACTGCCCAGCCATGTACTAAAATCTAAAATGTACTAAATTTCCTTGCCTTGGACACAATTGAAGTAGAAGCTTCATAGTTTTAAAAGTACTTCAGCAGATATTTATAGAGAATAAAAGTGAGATACCTATAGTTAGGGCATAGATTTTGTTATATAAACACAGGTTTTAAGTTGAATAATTTTTATTGTATTGTGTGAATATTTACTCTAAGTACGAGAAATGTTACATTGCATTGTTTATTATTGTTATCATCATTATTGCTAAATTTGACTCTGAGTTCCCCATCTGAGTAGTAGGACAGTAAATTTACAAGTCATTCGAAGGTTCCAGAATATATGGGGAGGGTTCTCTAATCTAGGTCTATCTCTGCTGTTATACTTCTTTAGAGGCTCAAGAGTTTCTTTTTAGGAAGGGTTTGGGATGGAACACAACCTAGATAGAAGGCAACAGAGGACCTGAATTGAAAATGCATTTGTAGAACAAACATACTGTATTTACTTATGTCGTGTATTTTTATGGGAGTAGGGTTAAGGGTGGCACTCATGGTGATTATGAGCAGGGAGGCTGAAACTCTCCCTAGCCTTGTAATATGATGATGGACCATGTCCACATGATTTTCTGAAAGGAATCGCTTATCTGAGAACTTTGCTGAAACGGGCAGCCCTGGGGTACTAAGCTCAGCAAAGTCCAGCCTCCCTCCCCAGGTGTATACTTATTGAGGTACGGAAAGGACACTGGACTTGGGCTGTACCCTTCCTGGGGCTGGCAGCCTCAGCTTCTTCCCAGGATTAGGAGGTGTTAACCCATCTCTGGACATCTACCTCTACACTTTCTTGTTCTCCAAAGTTCCTTTCTCTTTCTAGAACAGTCTGGTTATTAAAAAAAAAAAAATTGTGATCTGAAAGTGAGGAAAGTCCCTCCTTCCCTCCAGTTCAAAGCCCTTCTTCACTCTTAATGGGGCTGAGTAGAAGGCTAGGTGGCCAGGGCTATCTCTCCTTCTTTCACATGTATTGAATACACACACACGTTAGCTCCCTAAGATGGAGATACTCAGTCTTCATTAATACCTTTTTAGCTTTTTTCCCCTCTCTCTATTCCTTGCCTTTCTCTACATTAAGAGCAGTCTCTAGGAAATTGTGTCCTTTGGAGGCAAAAGGACTCGGATTTGATTCCTCTAAACACCAAGAAAATTCTCCCCTTCTTCCCTGATTGAAGAAAATGTCCTGTCCACAGAACTGAACTGTGTCCAGCATAGTGACCAAAGTGGCCATTTTCCCACATGATAATTATTTTATGGCTATTCAGCATAGTGCAAAGTGCCCTGAAAGATATCTTGTTAGCTCTGAAAAGGAGAAGAGTGGTAAAGAGTGACCTAACAACTATTACTATTTCCATGCTGTTTTGTACTAAAAAGAAACACATATATTTCTGAATAAACTGAGGAGTTAGGAAGACATGGGGTGGGGAGGGAATGTTTAGCCTTTCGCTTTTAAACATGCTAATAGTGGACCAAAAGCCATCAGTCTCAAGAATGATTTTGATAATTAATAATAGCTTATTCTTGTCAGGTGCTGTTGTGTGATACTATAGTCCCAGCTACTCAGGAGGCTCAGGCAGAAGGATTCTTAGAATCCAGCAGTTTCAGGCTGCAGTCCACTATGATCCTTCCTATGAATAGACACTGCATTCCAGTCCAGACAATGTAGTGAGACC